GGCGGTGATCTGCACCAGGGCTTTCGGCTCCGCCGTCCAGCTACCCAGGGACCCCACGGGCACACACCACTGACCCCTCTGCACAGGCAGGACAGGGGTACCCTCACAGGAGAGCCCAGCAGCTTTCAAATCAGAACCAGGCCTCCAAGGAGGACGAACCACAGAGCAGTGGTTGGGGTGGAGCCTGGGGTCACACCCTCTGGGTCCACCAGCCACCGGCCTGTGACCTGAGGCAAATCACTTGAGCTCCCACTGCTCCTGCGTGTCCGTCTGGACTCAGGGGCTTCTAATCGCCTGCCCACAGGCCGATGGGTGTGAAGCCGCTGCTGTCGTGTGCCCGGCCCAGAGCCTGACCACTCGGCAAGCCCCCAACGTAGCCGCCACTCCTGTTGCCACTGTCAACGGGGACAACTGCGCCCAGTGTCTGTTCCTGATGCACCCAGAGAGGGCGAGGCCCTGAGGCTGCCCCAGCTCAGGAGGAGGCCGGAGGCTGCCCCCCGCCCCGCTGGCCCTGTTACCTGGGTCACTTTCTCTTTGGTGGACGTTTTGCTTAAGGGAGGTTCTGTCACCATGAGAGGGTGCTCTTCGGGGGCGATGTTGAGCACGTGGTAGAAAGAGTGATGCCAGATCTGGGGGGAGAGCGGCAGGTGAGCTACGCTGCCCAAGGCAGAGGCAGCTGCCCCTCCAGGCAGGGTGCTGTCCGTCCGTCCGTCCATCTTCTACCATCTGTCATCTAGCAGTCACCTAGCACCTACCAATCACCTGCCACTTGTCACCTACCACCTATTAATCACCCATCACCTACCAATCACCTGCTACTTGTCACCTACCACCTATTAATCACCCATCACCTACCAATCACCTGCCACTCGTCACCTACCACCTATCAATCACCCATCACCTACCAATCACCTGCTGTCTAACTAACAGTCTCCCATCCCCCTTCTCTCTAGCTCACAAAGCAATGCAGTCAGCCTGCACATCTGTGGATTCCTCATCCAAAGACTCAACCAACCAAGGATGGAAAACACACTCCAAAAATACCTGCATCTGCCCTCAACATTTGGACTTTTTTCTGGTAGTCATTCCCTAACTACGGAGTAGAGGACGGCTCCCTGGCATGGTCAGAGTGTGGGGACGATGCGCAGGTGGCCCTGCACTGCTGCAACCCTGCACCCGGGGTGAGGAGGGGGCCTGGATCCTGGACCCACCCAAATATGCCGACTGGCCGCTGTGGTTTGGGGGTCACAGGAGGCCTCTGATTCGGGGGGCCCTGACCTGCGGAGGCAGCGGGAAGACGAGGGTGACTTTGACCAGGCACTGAACAACCAGCCCGGAGCCGGGGACCAGGACAGAGCCGGGGCCGCGGGTGCTTTCCAGAGCAGCTCCGGTCGGGGACACAGACGCTTGCACCAACGCTGCGGGGCAAGCCCCGATGCCGATGGGCTGGGTGTGCACAGCAAGAGCCCCGGCTGCGGCCCTGGTATGGACGAGAGCCCTGCCACATGCCGGGGCATCTGCACAGCAAGGTGCCCAGTGGGCCTGTGACCTCTCTAGAATGGAGACGGTCCTGCCCCCAGAGCAGGCCGCGAGGACCCACGCCCACGTAAGGAACGGGTGTGCCCCCTCCCCAGGCAGCCCTGCAGAGCGCCACAGCCGGGCCTTCGGGCAGCGAGGGGCCCACGGCCTGGGGCTGCGTCTGGGGTCCCA